TGAGCTGTATCTCTGCTCCTTGTAAAACACTTCACTTAAAACAGTAGTTAAATACATGAAATAGATGCACACTGCAGGATTTTAGCTACATTTTCTAACTCAAAACAACTAAAACGGGGAAAAACTGAGTTGAAACATGAGTTATTTTACAGACAAATATTCTACAAGTTCAACTCTGTGGTAAAATGCAGGGAAATTCTAGATAAATTACAACAAACAACTTGAAAAAACCCAAATATTTCATCTAGTGGCAGACTTATATTGCCTCTCAAATATTCAGATCTTTAAAATAAGTCAAACTTGCAATTACATTATGTAAAACTAATAAATAAGTAAAAGGTCGGCATTCAAAATCTTCCTTAAGTATGGAAAGTTACTAGACAAAAAGGACCTGGAAAGATCAAATGGTGTACACGAATGTATTCAGATCTGTATATTGTATGATATTATGTTATATAAAAATAAAAACAAAATCTATCAAAGATCCAGTCTGTAATCTTCTGCATCTATATATAAAGAAACAATGACCTACACCATACAAAGGTTATACAAATGTTTCTGTAAAATCTAAACAAATAATGTAATAATTTAATGCTGTTCAGTAGTTTAATCTTTATATTGTTTTGTATTTTATAAACTGATTTGATGTTTTCTTCTGTAACATTTTCAACTTGTCGCTCATGTTCGGTCTTGTTGTCTTATATTTCTGTAATGAGGAAGATGAATGTTAGGGGTGTAGCTGACCTTTAAATGTTGAATTCCCTGGCAAACATTGATCCAATGTGTTGTGTGTAGACATGTTGAAGACCAACATCAATCATGCTTCATTTCACTTCATTGTGTATTTTTTTTTTAGCAGGAATTAGCTTTGAGGGAGATGAAATACAGCTTAAGAAGTTGGATGATTTTCTCAGGAAGGGTATGAAACATTGTAATCAGAAAATTGAGTAGTAATTATAGCTGTCGGACAAATATAGTAGAGTAAAAAGTACAACATTTGCCTCTCAGATGCAGTGGAGAAAGAATAGAAAGTTGCATAAAGTGGTAATAATATTAAAGTACAAGTACTTCAGTAAATGTACTTAGTTACAGTAAGTATTGGTAAGTTACTCTAAGTATTATATGCATTTATA